AAAGGGCTCTAGCCGTTACCATAGTAATTTTAATTTTAATAATGAATATGCTTATAAAAACGCGTAAATTTCAAGAATTAGTTATTCAAAAAAAATTTCGCTTGAAGATGGAACAAAGCTTGGTACTTGAATTCAGTTTAATTCAAATAATTATATTGAAGTTTTCGGCTCTTGTTTTGAAACGTGAGAACTCTTATGTAGCGTTGGAATCATATTTTTAAATGAATAGTTATATTTATGCTCTACTTTTGTATCGTGTACTGTTTTTCAAAAATAATAACAAAATACTAAAGAACTTTGGATTATTTACCTAACAGGTTCTTTCCTATTTTTATATATTTTACACAAACACACACACACACACACACACACACATATATATATATATATATATATATATATATATATATATATATATATATATATATATATAGTTTTAACTTATGTTATCTTCATGGATTAAGGGGTGGAGCGTATGTAAATATAAAATTGGGCACTGAGGTCAACATCCAGCGGCGACTGTGTTTCATGCTTAAACGCAATCTCCAGTCGGGAAAATTTCGTTTAGGCATGAAACTGACTGTCGACGATATATATATATATATATATATATATATATATATATATATATATGGTGGGGGGGCTTTTTTTAGGCCAATGTTTTTTTTTTATATTATAGTCCTAATTTATTCCCTTGGAGCATAAAAATCTTGGATCTCTCAAAAAGATAAGGACTCAAAGAATTCAGTTAAAGTAATTCATAAAATAGTTTTTTCAAGAAAATGTTGAGTTACTTCAGTGGCCTCGTTAATCGTTGCTTCCAGTTGAACGCTTTGAATCCAGTTGGACGTTCATGGTGCTTGAAAGATCAAATCCATCAGAGGGAACAAAGAAATAGAAATTCTTTGAAAGAAAATGTGGGCTATGATTTCAAAAGAATGTTGCGAAAGGCTTGTGAACGGTTAACAAAATATTTCCAAGCACTTTTCTTTTCTTTTTTTTTTTTTTTGTACACTGTGACGTTTATTTATATTTGTGTCTATATCTTATAGAAATCTGTGTTTTCTTTTATAATAACCTCTTACTTCTTGAATATTAACATCGAAAGTACATCAAATAAATATTGGCACAAAAAGAGACACTGATAAGGGCCATATGATATAGGAAGTTATGGAAAGTCATGATCGCCAACGTCCCTTCAGGGATACGTCACATAGAATAAAAGACAAGTGAAATTTGTTTGACACATAATAAGGAGAGAGGACTTGGAAAACCTGATCCTCACATGGTGTATCAAGAGTTGTAGGGATAGAGAAAAGTAGTAAGCAACTTACATGATGAGCTTGTGGAAACAAATAGCGGAACTTGAGGCAATCCACTTGAAAATTCATGGTGCTTGAGAGATCAAATTCATCAGCGGTAACACAGAAATGAAGAAAAAAAATTCAAAAGAATGTCATAAAAGGCTTTTGAACGATTAAGGAAAATGTCTCCAAACAGTTATTGCAAGCCAGTGTGATGTATCTAAGAATTAATTCATGAAATCAATATGCTCGAACACTATTTTTTGTACATTGTAATATTTGTTTATATTTGTGTCTACATCTTATAGACGTCTTTGTTTATTTGTTTTGTTTTTTTTTCTCATAAACTCTTGAAAAATAACTCTTTTTTTTTTTAACTAAAAGCGAATATCAACTCTGAAATCCATTCAATTCAGTTAGCGCATTTTGTGCTAGTGTGGTCACCATACGTCTTAATTGTGGTTCATGATGACATTCAAGACAAAATAGTGCCATAGCGGCCGGTTCCTTTTGCACAGGGGATGTTAAAGTTATCCAGTCCCTCCTCTCAAAATATCCTCCACCCTCTAGTAAAACCGTTGACCTCTGAGGCGCTGCTCTTACGCCCAGACTAGCGACTAGCCAATGGCCTCTTGTCACAGATGTGTGGGGAGATGCATTTCTCTTCACCGGTTGGATCGGGAAACCCTTCCGATTACACTCGCTCAACTGGCAGGTTGATGCCGTTGACCGGCATAGTGCCCATGCAACTTCTTGGAGGCATGTGAGAGAGTTAGATGTAGGTCTTGGACCATTGCAGTTCCGCATCTCAATTCACCTGAGTAAAGCGAGGGAGGTCGCTTCGCTGCCACTGAAGATACACCGCATACACTCCATCAAATAAATATTTCCCGCTCAGACTTTACAGCCTAGACCCGCCTTGATAACCCTGTAGTGTCGAATCATGTTCATTACCTCCGTTTTTCACTCGTCAAAAAGACGTTACATTCAGAAAGATTCTCCCATGAACCTCTACTTTGAGTAACCGACTTTGGTGTATATGTCCCCTCCCACCAAATACTGTAATCTTAATCTCTTCAAAGTTAGGATTAATCGTTAACTATCCTCTTATACCCATAACCTTCACTTCTTAGATTTATATCACACGATTCATTTAGTAATCATCTATCTTGAGATGTACTTGGGCAATGTATCAAATAGTCTATGTACTTCTTTCACCTTACTGTTAATTGTGGATAATTTACATACGTTGAAATAATAAATGGATGGGTATTGTATTTTGTTGATGTCATAAAGATTATCATTTCATTTCCGACTTCCGTTTTGATTATTCTTCATTCAGTAACACTTCCCAGGTTACGATATTTTGGCGACGACGATTTGGCCGAAATCAAGTAAACGTTCACGAGTACAACGTTTGGCGAACAAAGAATTCGACAGAACAGAACTCACGTAAACGTTCACAAATACGATTTTCTAAGAACGAAGATATCGGCAAAACTTACCTAAATATTCACCATAGCTACATTGGTGAAGGAGAATCAAGAAATTATCAAAACTACAAAGCATTTTTGGCTACAAGAATTTTCTAAGGATTAAATGGATATTAACCAAGTTGTTTGAAATAAAACATTAAAAAATACGGGATATTATTCCAACTCCAAATAACTGGAAACGTAACGAAGTGTACGTGAAATTGAAAAATTGTATTTTTTCAATTTACAGAAATCATGTATTTTTGAGAGGGTTTTAAAGGTGTTATATTGGAAGTTGATTAGTAGGAAGATTTAATGTGTTTTGAGAGACAGTTGTGTAAAAAATATACTTTTGTGACAAGTTAGTTTACCTAACAGTACAAAATGGAGGTTGGAAATGAAATGGTAACTTTTATAGCATCAACAAATGGCAGCGGCGTGAAGTGGGTAAACTGCTAGTGAAGAACTACTTAGACAGCATATTACCGCCCCCCCCCATACACACACTTACAATAGTGTCCACCGTATTTATGAGGATTGGAACATACCCATTAGTGCTCATAGGTACAGTATATAACAATGGGATTATTATTATTTCCGCCAATGATTTGACAATATCAAACGAATAAAAACATCATTTTTTTTCGAGCAATTAATAAATATTGAATTTTGTGACGTAAGTGTAATATAGTTTGACGTCACACAGACTGTCGCCTTTGTTAATATTCAGACCTCAATGAGGAAATAGATTTAAACAGATGTTCTTTTGTTGTCAGGTCACTCACTCCACAAGTGCTACTGGTACATTGTATCCTAGTAATACCTGCTGCATATTCGGCTCATCGGCAACTAAACGCTAATAGACTTTTAATGTCGCATTGACAATACACCGAGCAAGATTAAAAATAAGATCTGTCAAAAGGCAGATGAATCTTTTTTGACGTTCTATGGTTGTCTGGCACAATGGAGTAGACCGCACAACATGGCTATGTATGAAACAATAACTTTCTGGTGAGGAAAGCTTAGACACATGGCAGAATTAAAGATGAGACCTATCAAATGGTAAGAAAAACTGGTGAATTGCCACTTTGCAAAAGTTGACAAGACTGCGCTTCAGAGCGATGTATGCAAATAGTTCGTCAATGACACGATATCGCAACGCAATGGGCTTTCTAGACTGAAGTCAACAGCCATATCGGAAGTTACCCCTGATGTAATAAAAGGACACGTGTCCCTGACAAGAGCAAGAGTTCACGTTAAGGTTTTCTAAACTAGTCAACTGCCATGTCGGAAGTTACCCCTGATTGAATCAATGAACACATATCCCTGACCAAAGCAAGAGTTCACGTATGTAGATAGTGCCGTTGTGGAAGCTTTCTAAACTGGTCAACTTTCATGCCGGAAGTTTCCCCTGGTGGAATTAATCATCACGTGTCCGTGACCAAGACAAGTATTCACATATGCAGATAGTGTGGTGATGGGGGCTTTCTAAATTGGTCAAATGCTATGTCGGAAGTTTATCCTAATGGAATCAATGAACACGTGTCCATGACCAAAGGCGAGTCTTCTGGTATGCAGCTTGTTTGGTGAGGGGGCACTCTAGACTGAAGTCTACTGTTGGTTTCCCTCAATGGAATCAACAGTCACATGTCCATGACCAAGGCGAGCCTTCAAGTTGGAGGACATCGGCTGGTGCCTGTCCTACATAAGGACAGGTTCAACCCGGTCTACTTTATTAAGACACGCTACCCATAAACGAATACTTCTTCGTCTAACCAAAGTACGTTGAGGAAATGTATCAGTTTCTCAACTGACCCTACGACCACTTCCGGTTATGAGATTTATGATAGTGATGATGATGATATAGATTATCACTAATCCGTAATTCTTCGTATATGTCAAGAACGATGTAGCAATAACACATGCTTACTCTACATGTATTTGCGTTTTATAAAGGCTATACTGTCGAATATCGTCACTTGTTCTCATAAGATATTCTTTTTTTTATTGAAATTTTGTATCTAAATACGTCTGCTTATAAAATATCTTTAGACCCCGTATGCCATGAGTAGCCTCACCGAACAAAAAAAAAAAGAATATTTTATTATTTTATGGACTTGAAAACTGAAGTCAACATCCATATCGGAAGTTATCCCTAATGTAATAAATGGTTACATGTTCCTGACCAAGGAAAAGATTCACGTATACAGGAAGTGCGGTGATGGAGGCTTTTAAAGCTGGTCAACTGCCACGCCGGAAGTGTCCGAAAATGTAATCACTGAACAATTATCCATGACCAAGGCAAGAGTTCCCGTAGGGTTCATAGGTAGTGAACGACATTTGGAAATATATATATATATATATATATATATATATATATATATATATATATATATATATATATTTAAATTTTGCTTTCTCTGTAAACCCACCTCTCTCTTTTCTATTTTAGTCTCTTTTCTCTTTGCCCTCGCTTTCTCTCTAACCCCTCTCTCTTTTCTCTTTTAGTCTCTTTTTTCTTTACCCTTGCTTTCTCTCTAACCCCTCTCTCTTTTCTCTTTTAGTCTCTTTTTTTTTACCCTTGCTTTCTCTCTAACCCTTCTCTCTTTTCTCTTTTAGTCTCTTTTCTCTTTACCCTTGCTTTCTCTCTAACCCCTCTCTCTTTTCTCTTTTAGTCTCTTTTCTCTTTACCCTTGCTTTCTCTCTAACCCCTCTCTCTTTTCTCTTTTAGTCTCTTTTCTCTTTACCCTTGCTTTCTCTCTAACCCCCTCTCTCTTTTCTCTTTACCCTTGCTTTCTCTTTAAACTTCCTCTCTCTTTTCTCTTTTAGTCTCTTTTCTCTTTACCCTTCATGATCCTTTTCGCGGTCACACTTCATTCTTTTTACAGCAATTCTTTTACATAGAATTTTGCGGTGTATTTTGCGGTGTATAAATCCAAACGTGCCTTGAATTAGCAAGATGCCTACCAAAAGCTAAGCAAAGAACTAGGACCTAAGAAAACCGTTAGAAACAAAGAAAAGGGTCCTAGATTGCTATGTGATTTCAATTCTCATTTACGTCAGTGAATACTGGACAATTCCCACTGATGAAGAGATTGATTTATTTGTATTTTACTATCTAACAAATTTTTACAGGTTATTTAAAAAACCAGAAAATATTCTTTGATTTTAAGATTGCTTTGGCGATAATAATGATTAATTGATACAAGTCTTAATAATAAACCCATAGGTGTAGGGAGATGTAGAGTCATGCCTTTCCCAAGGCTATTTGCGCGTAAGCGAATTTGACTAACCCGACTCTAATTGGAATTCATTTCTCCGATTAACAATTCCGAGCTATTACCATTACACCTCCCGCATATCCAAGATTTCATCACCTGGTATTTCTAAGCTGTCACCCATCTATGTATTGACCAGGCACGATGTTGCTTAACGTCGGTGATTGTACGAGAACCGATGCTTTAACGGGATTTAATCATAAGATAGTCACAGATACAGAGAAAGGAATAGGAAAATTAAATTTGGTTCTACAGGAAGATAGTGAGAATTCCAATAAAGGAGTGTGTAAGCAACGAGAAAGTCTATAAGATAATGGTAGTAAAAAGACCACTTAAACTCAAAATCAGGGACAAGTGAAATTTTTTGACACATAATGATGGAAAAGGGCCTGGAAAACCTGACGCTTACAGGATATATCAAGAGTTGTAAGGGAAGGCAATAAACAACCCACCTGATGGGCCTGTGTAAATGGATAGCAGAAATTGGGGCAATTTATATGAAAATTGATGGTGCTTGAAAGATCAAATTCATCAGAAGGAACACACAGATAAGGATTCGTTTGAAAGAAAGTGTGGGCTAAGCTTTCAAAAGAATATCGTGAAAGGCTTGTGAACTGTTAAAGTAAATGTCATCAAGCTGTTATTGTAAGCCGGTGCGATGTAACGAAGAATTAATTCATGAAATCAAAATGTTCGAAAAAAATGTGCTACAATTCGTGAACGAAAATGTCATATGAAAGTTCATCAAAATTTTACTGTAACACATATTGCAAGAGAATGCAAATTCCTAGCAGAAATAAAAATTTCAGCTGTAATGCTTATATTTGTGGATCAATCAAGTGTTAACATTACACGAAATCGAATCGCAACTGTCATGTATGTATATATGTATGTATATATGTATGTATATATGTATATATATATGTATGTATATATATGCATGTATGTATGTATGAATGAATGTATGTATGTATATATGTATGTATGTATATAAGTATGTATGTATGTATATATGGATGTATATATGTATATATATATGTATGTATATATGTATGTATATATATGTATGTATGTATATGTATGTATGTATATATGTATGTATGTATATATGTATGTACATATGTATGTATGTATGTATGTATATATGTATGTATGTATATATGTATGTATATATGTATTTAAAGCGTACAGACTGGAAGCAATTTATAAATGAGGGAGGGGTGCAACGTCTGTAGGGATTAATATTTGAGGCATGCTGATATTAAGCGTGATCTCCGATTGGGCACTCAATCTGATTTGCCAGTTAATATACAGTCTTGGAAATGTGTTGTGTGTGAGAGCATTCTGTTATCGAGGAAGGTTATGTAAAGCATTCCAAAAGGTCTCAAAGGACAACCAGAATCAAGCCAACTATGCCAACCTGCCTTATTGAACTGCCGACAATATCTGTGTTGTTTGTAACAATGTTTGCGAGTAATAATCTAGACTAAGTAAGGCACATGGTTGTATAAAGATGAGTTGGAGGCCATGACTATCCTACCAACCCAATCAAAAATGCATATATTTTCTGTGACATATGCATAATACATACTAAATCGAATACTGGCCTCAAGAGTTGTCTTAGTTGCCATGGACATCGAGACAAGATGGAACCCACTAAAAGACAATGAACAAGAGGGTGCAATTAATAATTAGATGAATTTATATATATATATATATATATATATATATATATATATATATATATATATATATATTGAATAGATAATATAGTTACTTCATATATTACGTAGCACTTGTTTTATATCGAACACTACATTTTTAATCTCAGCACACACAGTGCACTATATATATATATATATATATATATATATATATATGTGTGTGTGTGTGTGTGTGTGTGTGTGTGTGTGTGTGTGTACTGTTTATTATTAACAGAACATTTACTTAAATATTTGCGTCTATATAAATAACGTATAACAATAAAATATATTAAAGTAATTGTCAAACTTTGTTTGCTTTTAGATACGCTTCGTGCAGATATGAACTTTCAAGGGAAATCATCGGAAATTTGTAGTTTAAAAGCAGTAAAATCGACATTTCGAACCAGACGCTCTTTCGTTGCTCAACTGGTATAAGCTATATAAAGTTTCCGTGTAGGATACGGGTTCAATTCCTATCGGAAGTCGCATAATTTCTATGAAATTTCTCGGACCTTCAGACCGGTAAATGTTGTTAAAAAGCATTTACTTATATATATATATATATATATATATATATATATATATATATATATATATATATAAAATATTGCACCATAGGTGCTGGTGCTACCATGGAAGAAATATATATATATATATATATATATATATATATATATATATATATATATATATATATATATATATATATATATATATATATATATCATACAATATATGTACATAAATATATATCTTGTATGTATGTATCTTGCAAAATAGCTATTTATTTCAGTCCGTTTTGTATATGCAATCTTTTTTTGATGAGATTAAAGAAAAATAGTGTAAAATTCAAGTTGAAAATCGAAGATTGAAATCAGAAAATCAATTACATTTTCATAAATGTATATGATGCTTTCTTATAGCTGTTTTTACTCCACCTGTCCTTATGTCGATTTATATTCCGCGCTTGTTGTCTTTTGTGTCACTGTTCGTCGCTTATTGAAATAGTTTTCTGACACCTTGCGCAATAAAGAAAGTCTTTAAATTAGTTGTAACAAGAAAATACACAAAACTACAAAAAGTACAAGCAATCTGATAAAGTTCACAAGGTGCACCCACTGAGGACAAACAGACGTAGGAAGACTTTATTTCTTCAATCGTCTTATTCTTCACTATTGCATTCTGTCTGTTAACTTGGCTTCATTCCACAGTGGATTATATTGTTGGTTAAAACATACTGAGATTATTGGAAGTTAGGAGTTCAATTCCTAAGTATGGTAGTGCTGATAAATCATATACTCTGGTTCGGTGGAAGAAACAAATGTGAATAAGATTAGTGGGTAGTAACTGATAAGAGTTATGTCCCCTAACTAAACTGATACGCGTTATCTTTCCTAAGTATATAAAAAAAAGAATGAGAACAATCTAAACATGTGGATTGAATAAAGGGTTCGGATCAAAATGCTAAGGTGATTACCAAGAACGAAGAGAGCAACCTGAAGATGGTCAGAGAGTAAAAAGGTTAAAATGTTCTTTGTTGGTCCGTATAGAAAGCATATATATATATATATATATATATATATATATATATATATATTTTGAATAAAACAGACCACTTTAAGTTTCCATGTAATAAGTTATTTCACCACAGCCCTTTTAAAGGGCTCTGGATCGATGACTTTACTTCCAAAGGTTTCATTTCAACCTTTGGAAGTAAAATCTCTGATAATCAGAGCCCTTTAAAAGGGTTGTAGAAATAACTTATTACATAGAAACTTTCAAAGTAGTCTATTATTCAAATTTATTTGCTCTGAATTTACATTGAGCTCTCTGGATATCATCCTCCTTGGGTCTACCCATACGGATTACCTAGTTTTGCATAAACTATATATATATATATATATATATATATATATATATATATATACTGGACGTAACAACAACATTGTCCAAATCGTCTTACAGCATAATTGTCCATACCACAAAATGTTTATTATCTAAAAAGCCACTAAACTAACTGAGTTTATTTTTGAAAAATTTTCAGATAAGACTTTAGCCATCTTGACACCGTTTGTCGCAAGAATCACTGAAAAAAAAACTTTGACTTATTCAGCTAGAGAGAGAAGAGGTTAAAATCGTTTTGTGTCAGTCACACAATGTCTTTCCAACTGAGAAATGGTAGGAGGAAAATGATCATTCAGGCTTCAGTAATGGTACCAACATTCATACGCTGGCTTCCATCTTCAAAGGCCATACAAGAACCATCCAGAAAATGGTGAAAAAGAGGGAAGAGTAGAGAGAAAAACTGATTCAGGTCGTCACAACAAGAAGAGGAATCATCATTTCAGCTTATAACTGATAAGAATCCATAAGATATTTGGCACGTGAGAGAGGAGTTTCAGCTATGGCAGTTCAAAGAACAGTGAAAAAGATTGAAAATGTAATCGTATGTGAAAATTGTGAGGCATCTTGTTATTCCAGGACAGAAAGTTAGAAGGTTAGATAGGGTGAAGATCATCTTGAATAAGTTGGAAAATGTTCCTGGAATAATATATATATATATATATATATATATATATATATATATATATATGAACTTTTTTCAGTACTTCATGAGCTTCCGATCCTTAGCTATACTTAATTAATGATGAACATCGACTTCATCAAAATTCTTCTGATAAACTTGGAGAGTAATTATACATTCCTATTGCTCAAAGTAGAGTCCAATATTGTTATAAAACCTCGTAGAATTCCAGTAAGATATCTTTAATTATTTCTAAGATCCAACGGTTCAAAGCTTAATCTAACAATTGTACAATATCGATGTTACACGATTTGGATAATTTTGCAGTTTTGACCGTTATCCATGTATAATCTGTATATATATATATATATATATATATATATATATATATATATATATATATATATATATATATATATTTCTATATATATAATTTCTATATATATATAATATATGCGCGTCCGTATTGAAAGCGCTCAATATCAGAGACAGAGCTAACATATTCATTTGTCTGATAATCGCAAAAGCGTGAAACCCAGGGTTACAAACTCATATTCATACAACTGAATATATATATATATATATATATATATATATATATATATATATATATATATATATGTTTTATAATTTTTATATATCAACAAACAGTATTTAGAAAAAAATTCTTTCAAATGATTTTTGAAACTAGCTGCCTTGCGTCTCTTGCTTTGTGCGCACGTATAGACGTGGTTACATCATCAAAGTCCAGTCAGATGAAATACATACATACATATATATATATAGATAGATAGATAGATAGATAGATAGATAGATAGATATACACCTAAAGATGCTACCTGTGCGGAATAACATATATATATATATATATATATATATATATATATATATATATATATATATATATATATATATATATATATATATATATTTCTGCGACATATAAAACTGTTTGTTTAAAATCCTATTACGTTAGCGCTTCTGTTGCCCCAGTAATTGTAGTCATTATTGAATTCAGTAAATAGAATTGCTTTTTGCTCGAGAAACAAAGACTTTCGGAAAAGGTGATGAAACGCAGAGAAAATCAACTTTTGAAACATTTAGAGCGTAACATGAGAACATAGCTTCCCTGGCCTTCAGTGACGATCAAAAGTAAACGAAGCGGGAGGGAGAGAGACAGAGAAATAAATAGTGGGATGTTTGGAAAGCGTGACGCGAAGGGAAAACGCTAATGTAAAAGAAGGAGTGGGTACAGAGAGAGAAAGAAATGAAATGAAAAAGAGGCTAATATGAAATGTTAGAACGAGACATCCGTGAGTGTCGAGAAGTAGACAAATAAAGGTGACATTGACTGAGGCAATAAAGACAAGATACTTTGCAATGGAAACGATCTCTTCAGTACGTTAAATCAATTCACAAATTAGGCCCTTTAGACAAATAATTATTCATATTTTCATCTATAAATCTATCTATCACAGTCTCATCATTAATTTAGCATGTCCTGCTTATATCTATCTATCTATCTATCTATCTATCTATCTATCTCATTGTTTGTTTCTTTCTATCTATCTCATTGTTTATATCTATCTGCCTATATCTCTATCTATTTATCTGTGTCGTAGACATAAATAAAAGGAAATGGATTAAATCCGGTATATTTTTTAATTTAATTGTTAATATCTATCTATGCAAGACTGTTCATCTATATCAGTCCGTTCATATCTATCTATCTATCTTTCTATCTATCTATCTCTCTATCTGTCTATTCAAATCTATTCAGATCTATTTCAATCTGTTCATATCTATTTCAGTATGTCCTTATCTATCTATCTATCTATCTATCTATCTATCTATCTCTTTAATTTCATATCTATCTCTTTAATTTCATATCTATCTATTTATCTATCTATCTATTTCAGTTTTTCTTTGTTATCTATTTATCCATTTTTCTGTTCCTCCATCCATCTATCGATATTTTAGTTAGTATCTCTCCCTCTCTCTCTCTCTCTCTCTCTCTCTCTCTATATATATATATATATATATATATATATATATATATATATCTGTATTTGGGTATATACATCAATGCATTCGTATAGTTGAATTTGAATGCGTATATATTTGTATGTGAATGTGTCTGCGTATGCCTGTGTGTCTGTACATTTATGTATATAAAATCCGGTTTACACGATTGTAAACAATTGCCTCTGACGAATTTGCTTTAAGTCGTTATTCAAATCAATTAAAATAATTAGAGTGAATCCCCTTCTTTCAAATTGCCCGACTAAAATCATAAAATATTTCATTTTTTTAAACTTTTAAATGTACATAATGGCAAAACTTAATTTTGCCGTAATTATTCAAATATAATGCGAACTCCAAAATCCAAAATCCGAGGAAAAATTCTCTCTCGTGTAACGTTTTAGAATTTGTAGCGTTTAAATTTAAGTAGAACATTTATTCAAATGTTTGTCCGGTTCGTATTCAATAAAATAAAAATGTCTATAGTTTATATTATGTATGTATGGCAGCGCAATTTTCAAGATGAAACCTCAAAAGCCACTGAATTCCAAACAGCTATCTTTACCATTATCTTACCTTTCTTACTCTAATACAACTCTACATGGTAACATTCTATCTCGAGTGGCTCTTGTGCCTTGTAATAAGTGGACATTAGTGAAAAACAAAATAATAGTAAACACAATCGGTACCCTGTACCGTTCCAGTAAGTACTTGAATCCTCCTGCTATCATCTACCTTTACAAGATGAAGATGAGACCAAAAATGGAGAGTACTGTTGTCATATTTGGTCAAGAGCTGCCAAAACCTCACTCTACAACCTTGATAATAGGAAAGAGTCTTCGTGCTCTTGTGGGTGACGAATTATTCTCCACCCTCGCACTCACAGGCAGCTGGGTCAAGCCTCTAGCTGCTCTATTTCTTCTTCCACGGAAAATGGTCGGAGGTACTACATTCCCTGGTTCCGCTAATCGAAACCTTCACGGTAAGGACACGCCATGCCACTTACATAGCAGCAAGCCACCCACATTCCCGCCGTATTCCATCAGTGAGAAATAAGTCCAACTCGAACAGTTTCTTCTTGTGAACCACTTCCCTATGGAACCGACTCCCGAGATGATGTTTCCCCGATCATTACATTTTTAACCTGTTCAAGGCTAGGATTGACTGTTATTATATAACTGTACAAATTGTTTTCTAACTTAGTTCTCTACCTCGAGTGGCTCCTGAGCCTTGTACAGGATGAAGATTACTGTAAAATACAACATTATTTAGTGCAAACGTACGGGCATTTTCACATACAGGCGCAAAAAGGTCGCGATGAAAATAGGCTCACACGAGGAGAAATGAAATTATAAACAAACTCACATTCCAGTGAGTAATGGAATGCACTGGACACTAATGAATGTGACAATCTTTCTGAGGAAGGACAAGATTACTGTAGACGACGACATAGAGGAAGACAAAAGAATCAAACCAAAATGTTGACAACATAGATGGAACTGTCATGACGCCTATCTTTGACGCAGACACATGCAAACCAAGTCAAAATGTGTATTATATCTATGTGAATAAATTGTTTTGTAAAAGAAATGTCAAATTTTCCAAGCCTTTCTCATTATATGCCCTAGAAATTTTAACTCTGTTTTCCTGACTGTCCTGAATATACGTGGCCAGAAAAATGTTAATATTTATGTCTAGTCTATAATGAGTTTTAACTTTAAAATCTGGAAAACTGAGCGGATGTATATATGAATAATTATTGTAAAATAATTGAAGATTAAATTTATTTCTTCAATAAATCAAAACTCACATGAAAACAGAAACTTTTAAAGAATAATCAAAATTAATACCTATGTGTTTGAATTTTGGAAAAGATAATCCACTGTATAGTTCACAATTTACATTATTCGGACTATTGTCCTCATCTTTGTCGCCATATTTATCACAAAAATATGGAACGCTTCACGAATTTGCGTGTCATCCTTGCGCATGGGCTATGTTAATCTTCTCTGTATCGTTCTAATTTTAGAATACGTACTGCCGAAGCGAAGATTGGCATGGCCCCTGCGCAAATTTGTGAAGCGTTCTATATTTGTGACACCCCATCTCAGAAATATAGACAGACACTCTGTAGTTGTGTGATCAATCATTGCATAACTAAGATACAGACAAAGATGGAGGAAAAATTGCATACACAAAACTGACATATAAACGAAAACTCATATACACACGCAGATAAACGCATATACGCACTCATACAGGCATACATTTCAGCTGTGAAATCTTGCATGCATTCATTTCAACACTTCAACATAAAATTATGGCAACCGTAAAACTATTATAGACTCTACCCAATACACTTTAGGGCACAAACATTAAAGACTTTAACAATGAACCCTTTGAAAATGGCTAATGTATTAGCAAAAAAAAAAAAAACTGGGAAAAATAAGGACGGACCGTTTCTTCTCTCCGTTAGTTCTTCCAAAAAGAAAACTATAAGAACTTGACAAAAACTTTTAAGATATTTGTTGTCTGTTACATTGAAGGAAACATGTATACAAAGAGATGTAATAATCTATTTTGTATATTAAGATAGACGATAATGACTTCTGAATCGGAAAAAAAGAGAGAGAGAGAGAAAGGTGAAATTTTCAATGACAGTATAGAAATAAAAGGAATGATATTAACAGAGCGCTCGAGTTCACAGGAAAAGGTATAAAAACGTAAGGAAATGTGTGCTGTCTTTGTATTCAAAGGTTAACACCAGGTCAGTGTGTCAGTAAGGTAAGCAGATACATTCGTGCGTGTCTCTTTGGGATTACTGTGACGAAACGTTCTTTTCATTTATTTCATCTTATTTCATTTTATTTATTATGAATAATAAACAACTGTCAACCCGATCAATAGTGACACCACACACACATACACAGGTTGAAACTATATATATATATGTGTGTGTGTGTGTGTGTGTGTGTGTGCATATATATATATATATATATATATATATATATATAGAGAGAGAGAGAGAGAGAGTGAGAGAGAGAGAGAGAGAGAGAGAGAGAGAAACAGACAGAAAAGAGAAAAAAAAGAGGGGAACACACACAGAGTAAAAACTAAATATATATATATATATATATATATATATATATATATAACACTAATAATCTTATAAATATAAGCAGCTATACTCGTCCGGCAAAACCTTCGGTGTTTTACCTTGTAAATGAACAAACTAATTCCCAAGGGAAAAAAAGAGTAAAAAAAAAAAAAGAAAGAACTAAGGACATATACTTTCGGCGAAAATAATCGTCTAGAATCTAAGTTCAGAGTCCAAAGAAAAAATCCTCCGACACTAGTAAAGTAAAAATAACTAAGCAAAGTGCTCAATACGCTAAGTAGAGCGAAATAAGTAAACCTAAAGAGCCAGACAAACCTACCTAGGTTTCACCTACGCGGATCGTCTGGGTAAACTGACTAGTTTACCCTGATGATCCGCGGAAGAGAAACCTAGGTAGGTTTGTTGGTTCTTCAAATTAGGGTTTATATATATATATATATATATATATATGGAAAGAGAGAGAGAGATAGAGAGAGAAAGAGAAAGGGTGAGACAGAGATAGAGACAAAGACAGAAAGAGAGAAGAAAAAAAAGAAAGAGGAAAATACAAACACACATACACAGACACACACATACACAGACACACACATACACAGACACACACATACACAGACACACACATATATATATATGATAAAATTATTAACTGTAAATGTCAATTTTTTATGTTGTTTCAACGATATTTACAGTTAAGTAACTTAATCATATCAATTCTCTATTTTATATTAATATTTTTAATATTGAGTACTATGTGAAAATATCAGCTTTATCATTAAATTATATATTGAGAGAGAGTGAGAGTGATAAATAGATATATAGATACACACACACACACACATATATACTTACTTATATATTTGCATCGAGAAAAAGAATGTATAAACATAAAAATGTATATATATATATATATATATATATATATATATATATACTTTTGTTTTGTTGTTTATTTTTGTTTATTTTCATTAGATGTTTACACGTATTTTCTTTTCTGAAATTATTGAGTGGAAGGATTTGGGACAATTTTGACAAGGATTAAGTTCAGAAGATTGAACACTTCTTTTTACGCATACATTGAAAATATAATTAAAAAAACACTTATTAAAAGGGGTTGCTGCCCCAATACACAACCAACTATATATATATATATATATATATATATATATATATATATATATATATATATATATATATATTTTTTTATATATATTATGTTTTATATTGAGAAAAAAGTGATACAGAAAAGCAGAGACGGAAAAACAAAGATAAATGGATAAACAGATAACACAGAAAGGCTAAAATAGATAGATAGATAGATAGATAGATAGATAGGATGGAATGGACTGAGATAGATAGATAGATAGATAGATAGATAGATAGATAGATAGATAGGAAGGAAGGAAGGAAGGAAGGAACAGATTGATAGATAGATTTGTTAAGCCAAATTTGGTTTGACACAATCCCAGATAACCCTATCAATCTTTTTATAACTATTTATCCAACTATCTCAGTCCGTCTTCATGTTTATTCAAGACGCACGCTCGCCCACGCAGACTGTAAGAGACATATATACACATTCATATATTGAGCTTAATGGACATTGCCTTAGAATACGGAATCGGAGAGCCGAGTTCGAATTCCAGTCGAATTCATTACATGACGTACACGCTAATACCCTAGGTAAAAATATGAATCCATCACCTCTCCCCAAAATTATGGATAAATAGCAGGACAGGCTGGGTCCTATAGTCTAGGATGGCAACCTGTCTAGGAGAAGGACAAATCTGAATTCAAAACCCGCGGATGGTTATATATATAAGGTAATGGACAAAGTCCGACA